TGAAATTACATGAAGAGTGTTGTAAATTAGATAAACTAAATAGCATGGCATGCCTGTTTTTTTGTTTTTTTTTCAATATTTTAAACAGAATATTATATACTTCAGTAGCCATATAGAAAGAAGAATTAGGCAATGCAATGCATAGACTAATAATTCCAATGTATATAAAATTTGATATATAATTTTTTTTTTAAGATTGCATGATTTTCTTGCAGTACCAGAATTACACTAACATTTTAAAGATAAAAGTTTCACTAAACATAATTTGTTTCAGAACATATATCATTATTGATAAGAACAACAGAAATATCTCACCTTTAGAATATATATTCTTGCTTAACTAAGAAAGAAAATAAGTATTATGTACATACATGATTTGAAGAGAGGGTAGAAACATTAGTCTTAAACGCTTACATATGCATTTGTACTGTAAGTTGTATATTTTCATGGATTGAATGTGAACATGTTCCCATTATTGGCTGGTAACATTAGCTTAAGGCTGAGCTTAAAATGGTGTTTGTTGTGTGGTGCTTAGGACTTTCTCTTGTGGAAAGAGAGGGTTGGGAGTGTGTGTTCCCTCCTGGGCTTGTAGGAAACACATAGTCTCTCCTTTGCACTGGTTTAAGGACCATTTTAATTTCTTGTTTTGTTATTGTTTTTGCCATTGTCATTGTCATTATCATCATCAATCATTATTATCATTAATTGTCATCATTATTCATTGTCATCAATCAGTAACATCATTTTCACTTTCAGGATCATCATTACTTTGATATTTAAATATATTCTCTCTCTCTCTCTCTCTCTCTCTCTCTCTCTCTCTCTCTCTCTCTCTCTCTCTCTCTCTCTCTCTCTCTCTCTCTCTCTCTCTCTCTCTCTCTCTCTCTCTCTCTCTCTCTCTCTCTCTCTCTCTCTCTCTCTCTCTCTCTCTCTCTCTCTCTCTCTCTCTCTCTCTCTCTCTCTCTCTCTCTCTCTCTCTCTCTCTCCTCTTCTTCTCTCCCTCTCCTCTCTCTCTCTCTCTCCTCTCCCTTCTTTCTCTCTCTCCTCTCCCTCTTCTTCTCTCTCTCTCTCTCCCTCTCCCTCTCCCTCTCCCTCTCCCTCTCCCTTTCCCTCTCCCTCTCCCTCTCCCTCTCCCTCTCCCTTCTTCTCTCTCCCTCTCCCTCTCCCTTCTTCTCTCTCTCCCTTCTCCTCTCTCTCTCCCTTCTTCTCTCTCTCCCTTCTCCCTCTCTCTCCCTTCTCCTCTCTCTCCCCTTCTCCCTCTCTCCCTTCTTCCTCTCTCTCCCCTTCTCCTCTCTCTCTCCCCTTCTGCCCTCTCCCTCCCCTTCCCTCTCTCTCCCCTTCTCCTTCTCTCTCCCCTTCTCCCTCTCTCTCCCCTTCCTCCCTCTCTCTCCCCTTCCTCCCCTCTCCTCCCTTCCCCTCCCAGGAATCCAGAGGTATAATCACCTGAGGTATTTTTTTATTTGATAGAAATTCAACTGTTTGAGAATCCATCCGTTAGGCTCATCTGCAGTGGTCCATCTTGAGTATTCTGTTAGACTTTCTCTCGTGTCATCAGCATCATCATCATTCTTCTAAATGTGTGTGTGTACTAAATGGTGTGAATTTTTTTTTTCTATTTGTGTTGTGTGAATTTGTTTGCTTCTGCAAGGCCAAGGGGGAACACGTTTTATGCTATGTGGAAATGCTAAGCCTCGGCTCTGACACTTATTGCAATTGCAGAACCTGCAGTACAAGAGACAGCCGCTGAACCTGAGCCAGGTGAGTAATCGGCAGTGAAGTCAGGTAGAAATGTCATAGGTTACTAACTACAGAGGAGAATTGGCCCACAGTGGATTAGAAATGGTAGTTGTCAAGTGAATGAACTTGTAATTGTTCAAATTATTAAATTTCATATATATATATATATATATATATATATATATATATATATATATATATATATATATATATATATATATATATATATATATATATATATATTTATATTCATATATATTCATGTATATATGAATCTATACACAGTTGGACCTTAACATTCAAGAGGGTTGTAGTTATACTCCTAGTTTTTTGTGAATGTAACAAATTCATCAGTGTATGCTTTAGTTGTTGCTGGTCCACTTCTAATGCATAATCAAAGTTCACTTAATTTGCCTATGTAGTAAGTCTGTTTTCTGCCAATAACATCACACTGAAGACCAAAAGTAATCAGGCAAGGAAGGACTAAGTCACCTAAAAAACAAAACAAAGAAATAATGTATTTGTGTGCATGGAATTGTTCAAATGTTAAATTTGTGAATGGTAAGGCCAGCTAGACATGCACGTATATAAACATATAAATATGAAATTGTGCAAAGACATGTTTATTTGGTAGGGTAATGCCAGCTAGATTTGCACATATATAAATGATATATATGAATAAATATATATGAAGTTGTTTGTGCAAAACTTTCTTCTAATGCTAAAGAATTTTTTACTTAGACTTCATCAAAAAAAATTAAGT